CCAATAAAAAAAAAACTCTATAAATTCGTGCGACAACACGTACAAATTTTCAACCCATTCCGGATCCACGTCACCATCAAATATAATCCAATGTCTTTTAAGTTTTTCACCACGAACGTTGTCAATGATTTTACGTAAAATATGGGTGAATAAACCATCCGTCCATTCACGAGTTGTTTGGTCCAAATTACCATAGAGAGCATCTTTGGACACAGCTTTAGGATCAATAACGTATGAAACACCTTCACGTCCTTCAACTCGCTCCAAAGCTTGAAGCAATACTTTCCATGCCATTGATTTACCTAAAAACAATAAATTAATAATTATGAAAGCAATTTATTAAGAGATAACATTATTTAACTAACCAGAGCCAGATGGTCCGACCATCATAAGACCATGATGAATATTTTGAATTTGATAAAGTTGAAGAACTTTTTCTAGCCACATTTCACCATCAAGAAGGCATTTCTCATTACAAACATTTTTAATTTCTGCTTTAAGTTTATCAAGGTCTACCGGTGCATACTCAACGCCAGGGAAAACGTCAGCAAGTAAACTATAAAAACAAAAACAATGGTCCAATTAGCATTTTTCGACTAATCATTAAAATTAACATTATTACCAACCTAGTTAAAAGAGGAATATCATCAGATACTAATTTTGGAACGATAGTTTCGCGAATACTTTGAATCAAAATTTCTTGCTCAGGTGTAGGTTCTGAAATTCTGGTATATTCTGATTTGTCTGCATTGCTTTCTCTAAGTACTTGAAGGCGTTCACGTTTCAGATTACCGGCACTAACAAGCACACTCTTAAGAGCTCGAAGACCAAAATCGTAATGTGCTTGTGGAGAAAGTTGTTCAGCACAAAGGTTGAATAACGGGACAACCTTTGAAGCGAGAGTTTCTGCAGTTCGGAAACCTTGAGAAAACAACATTACTTGTGCGATTAATTCACGATCTGGTTTTGTCATAGCCATGCTACGGAAGAGTTTCTTCAAGTTGTCAGGTAGATTGGAACGACCAGCATAGCCAGGATTCATAGTAATAAAAATACCTAAATATATATCGTTTGATAATAAGTTACTAATAAAATATCGATTAAATCATAATGAAATTTTATATACTCACCGGTATTGGCATTAACTCTCAGACTTTTGCCAACAATTTCAACTTCAGCATTTGGATCATCTATAACAGCCTTAAGACCAAGTTGAATGGTTTGCACTTGTTGAGAAACAGCTGATAAAATTCTTTCTTCAAGACGATTAAATTCGTCAAAGCATCCCCAAGCACCGACTTGACAAAGCCCGACAAAGATACGACCCATAGCTTGGAAATCGAAATTTTCATCACAACAGAATACAAGTACAAATCTTCCCAACTATATTGACAGAGCATATAAGATTATTTCTGCAAAAAAAATCTATTATACAAAACCAATACGATCCATGTAAGCTATACCTGAACACCGAGGGCCTTTACAGATTCAGTTTTACCGGTTCCTAAAAATTATAATTTCTCATTATATACTATTTATGTTCATTTTTAGTAAACAGGAATATAACAGACAAATATAAACATACCACTGTTGGGGTCAAAATATATCAAAATATATCAAATGAATCATTAAAAAAAATTTCGAATTAATCTATCATGAAAAACAAAATAATACTTACGCAGCTGCAGAGTAGAAATATAAGCTTGAATATATAATAGTGGAAAGTAATAGATGTGTATGTAAACAAAAACAAAATACTTACGTCCTGTTAAATTTATAATAAAAAATCTTAAGTTAGTAATTCGTAGCAGCACCACATTAATAAATAATAATAAAATAAAAAGAACGAGACGAACCAAATGGAGAACCACCCAGTCTGGCTTCGAGTGCTTGAGTAAGAGTACAATAACATCTTTACATTGTGTGAAGAAATTAAATATTAAAATATTATCAAAATTATGGTAAATAACTCATTAGATAGTTAACAAACCTATCAGTAAGCGGTGTTTGCACCAAACGATCGGGTACACCAAGGTATTCGTAGCCATAATAAAACTGAGCATTTGCCATATTAATGGTTAAACGTGATAGTGGATCTTCAGCATTAGAATTGAAATAGAATCTCATGTGATATAGCCATGCAAAGTCCTTGGGAGAAGAAATTTTATCACGTTGCAATTGACGGATAGTATCACGTTGATGCACAAGCTCAGTGATTAAATGTTCACATTTTTTACGTTGTGTTGAGACCAAGTCTTGAAGTACAGTATCTGCTAAAACATCCAATGCACGCAACACATATTTAAGAGATCCGCTTAATGGTTCATCATCTTTGCCAGATTGCTCAAGAGATTTTTCAACTGATTGAGTCCAAATAATTTGCACAGCAACGACAACTAATTGTGCTGGATACTTTTCAATCCATTCCAAAAGTGTCTTTGTAACTAATTCTTCAGCTAAATAGAAAGTATTCAATTCATTTACAGCATCTTTCAAACATTCTGCTAGTGAAATACGCATTTGAGTTTCAATCATAGTCAACCTATATGATTAAAAATATCAAATTATTAAAAAGTAAGAAGAATATAGATAGATAAAGCAAAAAAGAGAGATTTTATACTTTCCAATCATTTATTCGCGAATAGTCACTGATTTTGATTGGAGTTTTGAAAGGAACTTCCTCGCCTTCTCGTGATGACATACCAAGAATAATACTGCAGTCTTCATTAAGAATAATATTGGCAACGCCCGCAAACATTTTCTTGAAATGTTTTTGAATACGAACGACATCTTTACTGTTACCAATAATTTCAAGTAAATCTTCGTCACCCACAAAATAGAAACGGGGGAAAGTAGAACGTTGACGTTCAAGGTATTCACCAAGTGCTTTTTGAATTTTAGACAATAGATCAGCTAAACGCTCCAAAGACTTTTGAACATTTGCAATGTTTAGAACATCTAAAACGAATGGAGATTTGTACACTTTTTTCATAACAGTCAAGAATTCAGTATTTATAGATGAAAAACGTTGGGTTTCAACTGGAAGCAAATGTTTAATGTCCGCGCTTCCACTAAAGATGCCTTCTAAGTATACCCATTGACGCTGAACATCGATCCAAACATCAAATAAGACATGAACTCTATTTAATTTATCTTCCCATGATGAAGCATCTTCCTCAAATGCTTTGTAGTAAGGTGACATTTTCATTGCAGTTAAAGAATTGAGATTTTCGCTACATTTAGTAAAGAGTTCGTCCCATCCCTTGATAAGACGACATTTATTTTGATAATTTACAAGTTCTAGGACATATGAAGTCCAAGTTTCTTTTACTTGTTTCAAGAATTCTTCCAAAGCCATTTCTCCAGTGGCTTGGACTACAATGTCTTTTATAATTTGTTCATTTTTCTTAAGATCAAAATCCCAAACGTGACCAACTGTCATTTCTGCTAAGTGGAAACGGCCTTCAACTCTAAGAGCCTTAAATAATTGTCTCCAATGACGTTCTTTCAATGCTTCAGATTTGAGATCGGAAAGAATTGGATTTATCTTAAGGTAGGTTTTAACGGTTTCTTGTACATAATTAAATGCTTCATATGAACGTATGCGACCTGGCATTTCTTTAATAGAACTAAGAAGATTATCCAATTGTTGTCGAATTTTTCGTGGAACTACCGAAGACCACAAGGTTTCTTTTAATTCATTGATTGATTGCCAAACTTTTGAAAGAGAACTCCAGACTGATTTGAGGTCTTTAAGTTCTTCAAGAACAATATCTAAACTGTCTTCAGTAGCCAAGGCCATGTCAAGTGCTTCTTTTGCACGACAAACCATATCATACTCCTCCTTAAGACGAGTAACACGACCTTCATAAATTTGGAGTGTATTTGTAGCAATATCTGGTTTGATATCTCCTTGTATTGGCTTACTAGTTTTCCACTCAGCAACAATATTTTTAATTTTACCTTCAACATTTTTATCTTCGGCAACAATCTTCAATTTCAATCCATCTACAACATTTCAAGAAAAAGTATGCATAGGAAATTAAATACATATTCGAGCTCATAAATAATAAGATTAATAGATAATTACCGATTTGATCTTGGATTTGATTGTTCTTTTTGTTTAAGATTTCTCGTAAAGCACTCCATTCACCGTCTATTTGTTCAATATGCATCCAATCACTTGGAAATTGATATCTTTGTCGTTCCAAGGTTTTTTGACCTTCCCGAAATATTTCAACATCCAGGCTCCATTTGTTAACTTTACGTTTGAGTTCCTGCACAAAAGTAATCAGGGCAACAGCTTCACTTGTATTATTGCTTTCCATAGATTTATTTTCAAGTTCTTTACGAGAGTTTGAAACTTCGGAATGAAATTCTTTCATGCAATCACCAAGTTTCATACCAAATTTAGCAAGAACGTCACGTTGCCACTGATCATATTTGGCGTTGACTCTGGTTTGTGCTTGTTCATAATTTACTGCAATAAAGCCAAAGGAGCGTTCGACTTCTGAATTATCAAATGTAGTACGTGATTTTTTGATTTCCGATAGAATTTGTTTCCATTTATTAAGATCATCGCCAAGTCGATCATAAATATGATTAGGTTCAAGATCCCATAATGACTGAAATTGGAGCCATTTGTTAACATATTCAGCTACTTCTTTCAATTTAGCTTCAATTACTTCATATGCTTTCTCTAGTGAACCATCGGGAATTTGTGCTAATAAGTTGGAATAAGTGGTTTCTCGAGAAACACTGGATCCTCTAACTTGTAGATCAATATCATAACGTGAACCTTGAATTCTTGATAAATTGCATACAATTGCTAATATAATTTAATAAAGTAACATCATTCATAAAAAAATTTTTTTAGTAATTGCAATTGCAACTTATAAAGGAATAAGCAAAAGAATCAGACTTACAAAGCCATTCGTGTAGTTGATTATACCATTTAGTTCTAGCATCCTCGATTGGTGGATCCAAATAAATTACTTGATTTTTGATACGTACTGTATGAACAGAACGTACAAGCACAGGTTTTTCAGATTTTGCAGTTAATGGTCTTTCACCGTCAATTGAATCGGTTCTAACAGTCCTACGCCTATTCTTCATAACTTTACTAATTGAAGATTCATGAGAGGCTGGTTCAATAGTATTCATAGGATCGTCATTAGGTGACATAAATTCAGTTGTCCATGAAGTTATAGCATGTTGTAGTCGGTGAGACAAGACAGTCTCAATTCTTTTATCAAGTTGTGCAACCCAAGCATCAAGATTAGAGTAAGATTCAAGATTAAGTCTGTCAATCTACAAATATAAAAAATTAAAAGTTTTAATATATTGATTACTTTTTAATATATATTGATGACTTAAAGCTATATTCAATTGACTTACCAATTTTTGAACTTTTTCCAAATTTGAATTGAGTTTTTTCATTTGATATGCGCAAGTTTTTAAGTCTTCAATTAGACGTGAAATATTTTCATAATCAGCAATCAAGTCATCAACTTTATCTTGAAATTCCGATACAGTATTTGCAAATTCTCGGACAAAAGTAACATGTTGATTCTCAGGAGAATCTAACGCTCCACGGAAATTACGATCATAAGTGTCCACAAAGTATTTCCATTCAAAAGTAATGCCTTTAGCGATCATAGATTGTACACCATTGCGATAACTGGCTACCAACATGATGATATCAGGATGTTTTTGAACCTTTTGAACCGTTTGAGCATAAGTTCTAACTGTCTCCATAAGACTTACAGCAAAAGGATATACACGTTTGGCAACTTTTGCACTAGTGCTTATATTGTGTGGTACTTGGTGATTTAACCATAATAAATTACGCACTTCTTTAAATAATGTAATTATTTGTGGATCAAAATTTACACCTAATTGAAGAATATTTCCTTGAGCACGATTTCGTGTAATTTCAAATAATCTTCCTGTCACATTCAAATCACGACGATTATTAATGTCTGATTGCCAAGTTTCATAGATCTATATAAAAATTTATATATAAAATATTAA